GTTTTCGTCGCTTGGCAACGACGTTCGTTGTAAAACAAGCCACCCCCTCGGTGTTTCCCATCGCCATCGGGGTTGGGTTTTCGTCGCTTGGCAATGACGTTGTAAAACAAGCCAATTCACTTCGTGACCTCGGCAACCACAGGTTGTAAGGTAAAGTTACACCTTTAGACTAGTCAGCGCTGACTTGTCTAAAAAAAGGTGAAACTTTATCTTACAAAAGATATTCGCTCAGCTCGTTAGCACCCGGCTGGGTCACTTGGGTCTAGAGCTTATTGAGAGTAGGGATCTCCGGGGCCGGACCCCTCGCCAGGCGCTGATAGTTGTAGGTGCACTTTTTTTCTTGTAATGAAAAGTGATCCAGACGGTATTCGAACTCGTGCGGGTATCCTTTGTCGCAAGTCATCGCGAAAGTGTTGCGAGTAAAACGCTCACACGGCAGCATCCTCCACCCTACATTCCTGCCTCCTCGGGCGTCTTCGTGTCTAGGGTAACCGCGTGTACTATTTTCATTTCGTCGGCCATGAGGCCGTACACGGATCGGTGCCGCTTCAACAGCGTCAGGCCCTCGAAGGATTTGCTGACGATTTTAATCATGAACTTGGACTCTTCCCCGCCTGACTCGTCCTCGATGACCAGCTTCAACGGCTCCAGCTTTTGCAGCTTTTCTGTTACCCGTGACGCCATCGTCCCGCTTTCCTCCGCCTCCTCCGGCGCCGCTGTTTCCGCCGCCGGGGCTGCTTGCTCCATAGCTGCGCGGATGGCCGACTCGCCGCCCAACGCTAGCGCCTTCCCCTTCATCGTCCGTAGCATGTTGATGAACCCGTTGTTTCGCCCGGCAGCGAGGCTGGCCTGAAGGCCGGCCACTTGGATGAACTCTGGCTTGACGGTCTGGATGGCCTCCGGCGAGTTACCGGAAAGGCCCATCGCGAGAAGAAGGCGAGCCGACCCCTTGGTGATCATCGCGTCCGAGTCCGTGGAGTAGTAGATTAGGCCGTCCTTCACCTCCGCTGCAACGTACACGGTCGAGAGGCACCCCAAGACCTTGTTCTCCTCTGTCTGGAGAGCCGGGTCCATCTTGTCGCCCATTTGCGTGAGGTGCAGGAGCTGCATCTGTCGCATCTTGTCCGTGGGGCAAGACCTGAACACCTTCGTCAACCTTTCCAGCTCCGGGGTCAGCCCCAACTGCTTCAAGTCGGTGGATGTCGACATGAGAGGGGCATCATCGCGTCCGCTACGGGCTGGTTTAGCAGCAGGAGCTGCTGGTCGTCTCGAGCGTGCGGCCTGTGCTGCTCTGTGAGACGAAAACGCCCCGCCTGGCACTACTGCGACGTTGGGCGTCACAAAGGACTCGCCGACCGAGCACACGCTGGTCGACAAGGCGACTGACAAAATTGCTGCTCGTGCAACCATTTTCGAGCAGGAACTGTACGTGTGATGGTATTGCCCCACGGACAAGATGCGACAGATGAAGTTCCTGCACCTCGCGCAAATGGGCGACAAGATTGACCCAGTCAACCCCTTGGTGATCATCGCGTTTACCAGCCAAACCGTTTGTTTTTACCTCTATTTTTTTTTTGGCGGAAACCATAATGGTGGTCGAGTAGATCATGTTGTGNCCTCTACCTTCCCTTGGCAACAGCTACTGCAGCTGTTCCACAATAACAAGTGAGTTCGTCTTCACGGGTCTCCCAGATTGCACCGCGCGTGCATATCCTTTACATAACCCCTTTAGGACTGGATCGAGTTTTGGGGACATTTTTTGTCCCCATTAGAGTAAATGTGCCAATTAAGGACCACTTAACCCCCCCCCCACTCAGGCAGCTCGTTCTCTGGCGTCACGATGATTTATGTAGAGGTTGGGGTATCGGATGATAGCTTAGAGCACACCCTATCAGCCCAAAAAGTGTTTTTTGAAAAAAAGTTAAGTGGCGATGAACTATAGCCCTCGAACTATACCTCATTTTCCAGAAAAAAATGCGGGAAAAATGAAGGTGCCCCTGTTAGGGACCACTTTCGGGTAGTAGCCGATTACGCAGGTTCTAAAGCGTTTCAAGACCTGAAATTTGGCACACGAGCTGGTAATATAATGTAGATTCCATTAAAAAAAAAATCCGTCCACACCCGGGGACAATATGCCTGTATCCCCGGTTTTTCGGCTCCATTACCGGGAGTGGAAAATACCCCTTTTGGGGGGATAACGCGCGTTATTTTGCCATGAAACGCTTCAACCGTCGTATTCTGATGCGCGAACGACTTGAGCGCATCCTATTCGAAGTCACAAAAACAAAATTACGACAAACGAGAGCCTACAGACGATCTTATGGCTGTGCAAACGTGGGTACTTTTCCCCCTTTTTTGACTTTGACGGCAGCATAATCCGCCTGAAATCTGCGAAGAGTTTAACCAACCATTCTGCACCAATATGAACCCCCCCCACCACACGCCGTTTGACAGAAACGCGCTGAAGGTTGCAGAAAACACGTTGTAAACGAAAAAAAAAAACATGCCCAGCCCAGGGGACAAAAGTACAGCATCCTCGGGTTTCTCGACCAACTGTCCGCCCGCCCGCCCCCCGCCCCCCGCCCCCCCCCTGGTGCTGGTATGACACCCAAATTGGCTAACGCAGCCTCGTGAACTATATCCAACCCTCAACGGACGGAAAATGATTCCGCACACTTATCTCAAGCCATTAGTTGCAGACTTTACCCCGATACCGCGTGGTTGTGCACAGCTAACACCCCTCGAAAACACCTACACATCCACTACGGGTGTCGGCTTGTGGG